TGAAGAATGAACTGTATTTCGTATACCTTACTACTTTTTCATCTTATAAAACTGGTTCTAATATTGCAAAAGTAATGAGAACAAAGAAGTATTACATGTTCCGAGTAGTACGTGCACAGGATTACACGAGAGAAGATGTCATGATTGTTTGTGTTTCGCCGATTTCAAAAAAGACCTGACCTGATGCCTTCGACAAGGCAAAAGAATAGCCGGCAAATCTAGAAAGAGAGGCTGCTCCTCAGCTTCAAGTACCAATCAGTAAGCAATGACTTGCTTACGTGACCGAATTGAGAAATTGAGGCACCTTCCATCCATTCGATCACATATGGTAAAGGAAATATATATATATATATAGATATTTTTTACATATTAGTATTTTATAAATTATTTATAATATATTAAAGTACTAATAAAATGATGAGGATCAGACTAATTGATTATACTGTCACCATAAAAAGTGAAGACAACTAACTTGTGAAAGTGAAGACAACTTACTGTTTATTTTGTGCTACAATAAACTTTCAGTAAATTTCATAAAATTAACTGCTTAAATTGTGACTAAATATATATTTGCAACATGAGATAAAATTTAAAGTCTTTAGCAGTACAAAACTATATTAACTTCCCTGAGGGTAAGTTAAAGTAATCGCAAAAAATTCGGAACTATTTTACGTTTCGAAGGTTTCTGAACATTTTGCCATACCTTTAAAAAATGGATGTACGTGTGTTTCGGTGCTTTTGTTTCGGTAAAAATAGTGTGAGTAGTTGTGATAAAATTGTTAACAAGTCTAAGTCCTAATTTTTAAAATAGTTTTTTACTAGAAAAATAAAGATTTCTAATGTATGGCAAAATGTGTGAGTGTGTACGTGTGGGTACAATTTGTGTCGACGTTTTCAGGAGCACGGTTTAACCGATTTGAATGATTCAAGAATTTGATTTGTATTGACAAGAAAACGTGTTGATTAGTTTTTGTCAAAGGCAGGTCTAGCCGAGAGCCGGCGATGCGAGGCAAAAAGTGCCAATTGTGGCAACACAGTTATTTTAACCAATTTAAATGATTCAAAACAAAAAATTGATTAAATTAGAAAAACAAGGCGTTTAGATAATAATAATGTTCACTAGACATATGCACATCAAATAATCAGATATTTTTTAAAAATTTTAATAATAACATGTGCAAATAGGTACTAAAGATTTATAATGTTTAAAGTTCTCTTATATAGTTTAGACAAATTCCCTCTACCATTTAGTTTCCCAAAATTTTCGAAAATATTCTATTTAAATAAATCAAAATTATCAAAAAAAAAATGAAAAAAATAATTGTTCAACAAGAGTCTTTCGTAACATAATAAATTTATTTTATCAAAAAGTCTATAAAAATAAGTAGATTTTAAAAAGACCTCACTGTTATCAGTTCGTTTGAAGTTACATTAGACTTTAGTGCTTTAAATTTAATAATCGTTGTCTTATCATGATAATTAAAATTGCGGTAAGTGTTTTCATCGTATCTACAATATTTATACGGAAAAATGTTTGTTTACCAATAAACTTTGTTTTTGAGTATCAGCTTCTGTAATATATCATGCATAGTTCCAAGAAATCTCAAAATTTGTGAAAATACACATTCAGTTCATTTTATAAGTCGCATACTTTATAAATTAATATATCGAATATATTTTCCAATATTTATTAAAAGATAATATATATCCAATTAATTAATTAAAAGACTTCAGTAATTTTATTGAATCGTTATAATATTTAGTATTTCATTTACACTTAGTTCTTCAGACTTAATCACTATGCCTAGAAATTCTGAATAAAATTTTAGAATTCAAATATTAAAAACTAGATACATTTTCAAATCGTGGAATTAATATAAATAAGTGAATTAGTATATGATTTTTAAAAATTTGCCACGACTATTTATTTCCTATATTGGATCATTTTAAGTAATCTACAATTTATACCATAATTTATATCAGAAACTAATTTATGAGTTAGTTCAATAAACTTTGCATTTGCAATAAAAATAAATTATAATATGAAATAATCTTCACTCAAATAAAAAACTCAAACAACTATCTCGTATATTATTAAAAAATAATTAAATTAAAAAATTAAAAAATATAATTATATTTCTCCTAATATTTGCGTCACAAACTCGAGTACTTTTTCCTCGTTTATTATCAAACAATACAATTGCTGCAATTAATTTCCTAGAATTCGTTAAATCGGGCACGTTTCATTAAATAATAATTATGTAGAACCATATCAAATAGTGATTATCGGCATTAAATTTATCTCATCATTATCTTCAAGTGGTCGACACTTGGTGTATATAAGGATTGTTTCGTTAAAGTTTCGACATATAGTTTGTGAAAATGGTGAAAATAATTGCATTGTGTTTGGCTGTTTTGGCTGTTTCCGCAGCAGGTAATAATTGATAATTATTTTATAATTTATAACTACCTGGCAACAGATAGTTTATTGTTAACTTTTTTACCATTATATATAGAAATATGAGTTCACTTATTTTTTAAGCAAATGGTCGTTGCATCTGGATTATGAACAAATTGTAAGAAGTTTTGCATCCAAAAATTGACTTTCTAGTTATTTTCTAAATTCAATATCTACATGTACAAATGCAAATTTCTGAAATGGATAGTTCCAAATGTTTTTCTTTATTTTTAATCATTTTTTCCAGCGGAGCCTCTCCCAGAAAAAAGCACCCGTGTCGTAGGTGGTGTCAATGCTGCCATCGGCCAAGTACCTTTTATGGTGTCTTTGAGAACCAACCAAGGACACTTCTGTGGTGGTTCCATCATCAGCAATCGTTGGATTCTTACTGCTGCTACTTGCGTGTTAAAGTAAATATTTGGAATAAATAAATAATATATTTTAGTGACTTTGTTTAGTTGCCCTTAAACGCAAATTGATCATAAGAGCATCAGTTCAGCTAAGATTGATTTATTTTTGAAGATAAAGTATTGACCAGTGTTTTGATCATAAATTATTTTCAATATCCAAGCAGTTTGGCCTCATTTCCAAAATATCACAATAACATAGACAAAGCTCAAATTTAATTTTCAATTTTTTTAGTAAATATCCAAATGATATTCTTCTCGTCGTTGGAACCAACACTTTGAATGCTGGCGGAGTAGGATACAAAGTTGCCCAAATAATCGTTCATAACCAATTTAACCAGAACACATACCACAATAACATCGCTTTGCTAAAAACTACATCAAATATTGTATACACAAACTATGTCAAACCAGTTGGTCTGGCAAGCTATGATACACCAATTGGAGCAGTATCCACTCTGGCTGGATGGGGCTACTTATCTGTGAGTATAAAATTAGAAATTGGAAATAAATTTAGTAGACCAGATAGATTCTGGTCGAGTCTACTAAATTTGTAATTTTGTAAATATTTATTATAATTATTTTAAATTTCTTTCCAGAATGGTGGCCAAATTCCCAACTACTTGCAAATCGTTGACACGTACACCATTTCTTACGAGCAATGCAGAAATGCTTTGATCAATGTTAACCAGATTGTACCAACTCAACTTTGCACATACATTGCACCAGGAAAAGGTGCATGTGCTGTAAGTATTAATATTTTATAAATTTTCAAAGTCCAAGACTAAAAAATCTCGTCAACCCAAATTTTCGTACTTGGTTCTTAATTTTTTTTTTATTATTTTCCAGGGTGATTCTGGAAGTCCTTTGGCAGCAGGTGGCCAATTAGTGGGTATTGTTTCCTGGGGTGTCCCATGTGCCACTGGTGTCCCAGATGTCTACACCAGGGTCTATGCCTACCGCGATTGGATCAGATATTACACTGGATTTTAAATCTCCTAAACTCATCTCATTTCTTATATTGTAAATTATGTAAAAAAATATGAAAAATGTATAATGAAGATACTTGTTAAATAAAAGTTACTTTTATTAAGAAATTTGTTGTAAACTCAATATATTGTTTATTTTATTATTAAATTTAAAAAATGTTATTTGTAATTATATGATAATTTTTGTTTTATGACAAGGCAGACTTCAGACAATATATATGGCTTCAAATTTGTGATCATTTCTAAAATGCTTATTTATTCAGCTTTGTCATGTTAATAAATTACACGAATAAAATTACGTAAAATAAATAAAGATTATGTGATTTAAAACAATATCCTACAAAGAGGAACAAAATTATTTTGTATGACAAACAATCAAGGTGTAATTATTTCCTTATTGGACATAAAAAGATTATTTTCCAAATTTACTATTTAGTACTAGCAGTCTGGTAATTATATCAATTATTGAAGATCCAAAATAAAAATTAAAATAAAGAAAATACAGTCACCATCTTTCGTTCGAATTCGAACAATGAAAATATGGGTGTAAATATTGAATTTAATTCAAACTGAACAGAAATTTTTGGCTTTCGATCAACAGCATTTATTAAATTACAAATTTATATCTACATTTCACCAAACCTGTCCGTGGTTTAGTGGTAGAAGCTTTGGCCTTACAACTGCAAGGTTCCCGGTTCAATTCCTGTTCGGAAAACCAGGTATCAAGCAGTATTGATATCAAAAACAGGATTTATAGTGAAACTAGACTTTCAGGATATTGATTAAAATTAGAACAGAAAAACGACTGAGTTGCCTTTTTAAAAAGCGCTCAAAAATATGTTTGAACCACAATAGCTTTTTTAGTTCTTATCGCTGTTTAAATAGTATTACAAAATTACGAAATTTTTAATGTAATATACATAAAACATATATATATATATATATATATATATATATATATTAATATATAGATTAATACATAGAAATTATATCCATTTATATGTACATTATATCAACAACTATTATTTCTCAATCAGATTGTATATGGCGCATTTCACAATCTATCATAATTAAAATCAAATGTATTGATAATGATTCTCACAAACCAAAATTTTCAGAAATCAAAACATAATCATATATAATACAATGGCAAACGTAACTATATTTATTTTCTCAATTTTGATTGCTACAGCTCTAGGTAATAATTTAGTGGACCAATACTTTATTGATATAATATAGATCAAATATTTTTTACATATATTCAGATTTTTTTTACATATTTTAATATTATATTTTTCGCAGGTTTTCATATAAATGATCAGAAAATTGCAGAACCTAACAGCCGAGTTGCTGGTGGAGCAAACGCAGGAGTTGGCCAAGTTCCTTACCAAGTATCCATTAGATCAATTGATGGACATTACTGTGGTGGATCAATAATTGACCATCATTGGATTCTAACATCTGCTAATTGTGTTCATTTGTGAGTATAATCCAGTAAATATAAAAAAAACATTCCTCAAAAAAGATAAGCAAAAACAATACTAACTTTAAATAACATGTTTCAATGGATAGGATTTAGTTCTAGGATCAAAATCAGCACAGTGTTTTTCACAAAAGTTTCAATTTTTTATTAAATAAGTAGACCTGCATCATAATTATTATAAACTTTTATGATAATTACAATAATAAGAAATATGTATCATAAATATTTTTTTTAGAAAATCTACCAATCAAATACTGGTAGTCGTCGGAACCAACTCCATAGTAAATGGAGGCGAAGGATACAATGTGGCGCAAATTATTGTTCATCCAAATTGGAACTCAAATGATTTCACCAATGATATAGCTTTGATAAAAACAGTAGAGTACATAAAATATACCAAATTGGTCCAACCAATTATTTTGGCAAATAATGATACTTCAATAGGACAAAGCGCAGTATTGAGCGGTTGGGGCTCAACAAGTGTAAGTGTAATATTCAGTATTTTATAATTTGTAAGATTATTTTATTATCAATGTTATCACTGATATCAAGCAGTACAATTCCATAAAAAAATTGATAATTTTATTTGTTTGCCTGGATATAGCCATATTCATATTCTCTAGCTACGTTATAAATAAAAAATGGAAATAATAATTAATTTAATCACACTTTTTTAAAAATCGAACGATCTGTAGTATAATTTATGATTTTATTGAAAATGTAACATAATTAATACAGGTACTTAATTTTGTGCAACATTATTTCAGCATCTACATGTATTTATGGTATCAAATGGTACATTTCAGACCACTAGATTTACTGATTATTCGTATTTATTGTCAACCAAAATATACATTATTTTTTAAGACAATATGCTGATATTTAAGTCTTTGAGGAGTTGATCTCCAATCCTTTTTTTAACAATTTATTTTAGATGATATGGCCAAATTTTTCTTAATCTTCAAGGTGATTCCTCACTCAAATCGTTTAAATATTTGTTCGAGTAACCTGGTAAATTATCGTGATATTTTTACTTTTTTCTGTTATTACATCATTAAAAGTTGTTCAATAATGTAGGGACTAAATTCCATCACACAGCTCTACTAGATTTAGTAATCAGACATACAGTTTTGCCTGTAATACCATCTAGTATTTGATTACTTTCTTCTTGATTTTTTAGGATAATGGAGTTTTATCACAATTTCTGCAAACTCTAAATGTATTCACAATTTATGAGAATGATTGCGACTATTTAGTCTCAAATGTTCATCCTATAACTTCCAATCAAGTTTGCACGTATATGGGGCAAGGAACAGGAGCTTGCAGTGTGAGTATCCAAAATATTAATTAATTACAAACAATTCAAGAAATAAATCTGCTGATTCCCTCTGAAAGTAGGCAGATGACACAAATTGTCATTGATTTTTAAATTGTCATAAAAGTATTAATTTATCTTATAGAACTGCGCGCAATGTATTGGAAATCAACAAAACTCGAAGGACAATATTCTTTCATTTTTTCCTCTTAAACTTCAGAAAACTCGATCAGAATTTAAGAAAAAAACATCACAAGAGCTCATACCACTCTTAACTACGTCCTATTTCCAAGGCAGCCCACCCTACCTTCTGCCCCTAGGTTGACCGATATCTATTCGATGTATTTTATTGTTAGAAATTCTCTAATACTGATAATTTTTTATTTGGTGCAGCAATACCAAGGACCACTGGTAACTTTATACCAAGTTGTTTCAAACAAATAAATTTTATTTTTCTAATCCTGATCATTTTTTAATTGATGCAGCAATACCAAGGACTAATGGTATCTTTCTATCAAATTGTTTCATATAAATATAAATTTTATTTTTCTAATACTGATGATTTTTTATTTGATGCAGCAATACCAAAGATCATTGGTATCAAATTATTTTATATTAATATAGTTTTTATTTTTTCAGGGAGATTTTGGTGGACCATTGGTGTCTAACAATCGCCTTATTGGAATAGCATCATGGGGTATCAACTGCGCCGCAGGAAATCCTGATGTGTTTACTAAAGTATTTTCTTATCGTGACTAGATAAGACAACATACACGTGTTTAATTGCCTATCGGTAATTAATTAATTTTAAATAGATAAAAATGTTTTTCAAATAGATAAAAATAAAAATATCGAATTTGAAATGCTATTTTGAAAAATAAGCATGATAAATGTTTTAAAGACCTGATTTATTTAGATCCAGGCGATTACAATTTTATTATCAATAGCTAAAGTTTTTTTTAAATATATGGTCTAATTAATTTGAGCTTGTCCGTGGTTCTGTAGTAAGAGCCTTGATCTTGCAACAATAGGTTCTAGGTTATATTCCCATCTTGCACTTAAAATCAAGCAGTAATGATTTTTTGGTTTTATTGCTCAATATAGATTCAAATATGATTTCCTATTGCCCATTGCAGCAATACATCAATAACACACTATTATTAAGAGAATGGACAACTTCTGGTCCATTTGACTTCTGATAATTCTAGGTTATAAGTAAGTATAAGATCCTTGTCTTCTTATAATTGTGGATTATAAGTAACAACATCACAACAGCTTGTAGAACACTAAGAAAAATTCTAATTGCTGTTCACAATAATATTATATTATAAAAAATGTTGTAAAGAATGAGTATATTAAGTTATGTAAATTGATGTGCTAATAAAAAATATTTTAGTTTTATTGATATTATTGGAGAGTTGATTGACTTGGTAATTAATTAAAAATAATTCTGGTTCATTTCAATTTAGTCTCCTAATTGATTATTTTTAGCAAAGTTAATATCTGTAAATGCAATATTAATTTTAAAAAATTTAAAACTGGTTTTTCGTTGATATCAATGTATTGTTTTGATCAATGTATTTGTTGTTGATGTAATTAATTGAGCACATTTTATTTGAAACAATATATTATTTAAAATTGTAACTTTTGAATAAAATTAAAACAATTGCAAAACTGAAAAGTGGAGATTTAAAAAGAAATAATAAATTTTAAATGTTCTTCATTGAATTCATCTTATGTTTCTAAAATCACTGCAGACACTAAGAATTAAAATAAGCTAATGATTAATACATTTATCAAGTATCAGTTTATAAACAATTGTACTTTTTAAATCCTTTCCTTTGTATCCGACTGGAAAATTTTAATTTATCAATTCACGTAAAATTCTAATTCATTACGGTGTTGAAATAGATAAACATCTGTCTCACAATTTATTGAACCTCAATTAAAAATAATCGTAATTAAGATTAGATCAAAGTATTATCAGATTATATTATAAAAACAACATGCCATTAATTTATATATAAAGGAGAAAAATATTGAAGGAGTCATCATATTGTAAAAATGACTATGAACTTTGCATTGTGGTTTGTGACTCTTGTGTCCATCACCAGCGGTAAGCTAAATTTCTTAATAATGCTTTATAATTTCTAATTCTTCCATTCTTTAGAGCAGATTTAAGTGGAAAATGTTAAAATATTTTTAGCTATTTGTGTTTTATATTGAAAATATTTTCTTTCGATGTTACGTATAACCTTCTTAGATAGAAAGTGTTAAATGGTATTTTTGGAATAAATTTATTTGATTTCAAAAATGTATTTTTTATTTGCAAAGCAGTTTTTAGATCAAAAATTCATTGTCAAATCAGATAAAATTATTATTAATATCAGGACCTTGAATCCATAGGAAACGCATAATATATTGCAATAAACCATCACTTAAGTCAGTTTTTAATTTTCTTGGCTTTGTTATTTTTTGGTCTCGAATAAACTATCATGTATTTCTTGCAAATTTGTACTATACCACTTTGTCTATTATTAAGTATGCAATTTTTTCCAATAGTCAACAAAAATCTATAAATAATCAGAACCCCATCAAACACCAGATAATTACAATAAAATTGCTCCAAGTTGAGACAACCCAGTGACAATGACGCACAACATCTGGCAGAACTGTGATTATGGCTTTCTTACGTGAAACAATTTTCAAATATGGCTACTGCGTCTTCTTGTCCAAATATACCAATTTGTCCATATTCCCCTTTTTCATTTTTGGTATTGTGAGGTTGATATTTACAATAAGTAAATTTCTTGTTCTAGCTGATCCAATTCGTGTTTCCTCAATTGGAAATGCTAATATGGAATCTCGCGTTGTTGGTGGTGAAAACGCAGAAGTAGGAGCTGCTCCTTACCAAGTTTCTTTGAAATACAATAACGGAGCTCATTTTTGCGGAGGTGTCGTGATAACCAAAACTTGGGTGCTAACTGCTGCACGTTGTATTCACGAGTAAGAAAAATTAATCATAGAAATAAGTTATTGCAATTTATGTGAACATCACTCTCTGAATAAGCTTATATTTTTTATTACTATAGCTAGTTCTTTTTTCAACAGGGAGGAACCCGACAGTTTCACTGTGGTTGTGGGTACCAACACTTTAAATGCTGGAGGAGAAGGTTACAACGTTAAACAGATAGTTATTCATATGCAATTCAACCAAGTTTATCTTTTGAACGACATTGGTTTGATCGAAACCAAATCACCAATACAATTTCATGATCTGGTTAAGCCAATCTCAGTTCCCAATATGCATGTTGAAGATGGCACGAGAGTTACTCTTTTTGGATGGGGAAATTTAACGGTAATAATTGATTGTAATTCAATCTATGGAAATAGTAGTAAGGTACACTAAAATACATTTCATTGATAAACAATTCATGGATAAATATATTCAATTCAGGTCTTTTACAGACAATACAAAAAAGATACGAGAAGTTTTTCATTGTCCTTTTTGTTTTCGCTTGAAAATCAGATTTGCTAATGTTGTGTCTTTTATTTATTTTAGGCTGAAGGACATATGCCAAACCATTTACAAACAATAGATTTGTTAACAATAAATCTGAGCGAATGTTCCCGATTATTGCCTGAACCAAGTATGATCAGTACTAAACACATTTGCACTTTTGTTTCATATGGAAAAGGACTTTGCAATGTGAGTAGTATATATAAGCAAGATATTTTGATAATTAATATATCTATATATTTCAATATTTTTTGGGACATTTTATTAAATTATTTTTTATTTTTTTATAGGGTGACACAGGAGGTCCTTTAGTTGTCGATGGAAAATTAGTCGGCCTGGTCTCCTGGAGTAAATCCTGTGCTGTCGGATTACCCGATGTATTTACTAGAATTTCTCCATACATTGGATGGATTAGACATTACAGTGGGATAGAATAATTATTATATTTTATATATTCGAAATATAGATTTAGAATTTTTTTACTGTTATTAGATATGCATAAATAGTTTAGTTGTAGAGCTATATAATTGTGATAAGTCATGATATTATAGATTTGCTTGTAGAATTAATATTGCTTTGCTTTTATATTTTTTATATTATATTAAATTAATCAATATGCAATATATTATAAATCTTGAATGAAGACTACTGCAAAATATATTATCTTTTGAAATATGATATAGAGTTATTTATTTTGAAACATTGTATGTAATAACTTATTTATCACTTATTTGGAAAATGCATAATTTTAAACTCTGACATAATTTGCTGTGACGCAAATAAGATGCAATTAGTGTTAAAAAAAATTTGATGGTATATAAGATAAATTTGTAGTACTTCCGAAGTCTAAAATTTAATTATTATGTTTTAATTTTGATTTATTGCCTTTTTCTAATTTTCAATATGTTGATATTGTAAACCGTAAACGAATTTGGTGTTTAAATGAAAATTTTACGATTTTTCGAATCGTATTTAAATGAAAATTAGAGATATATTTTTTGAAAAATTGCAACTATTTTAACATATTATACTTCAAATAATTATTTATGAGACAGTTGGAAAAAAATTAAATCACTATAGCACAAGCATTTCAATAACCTATTTTTTATACAAATTAATGATAAATTTATGTCCAATACTTGAAAATTTTTTACATCTTTTTAGTAAATGAAATGTCTTCTGTATTACAACGGAATTATTATTTTTAAAAAATATTTCTCCTATAAATACCTTGTTTTTAGAATTATTATCACTACGAGAACGATTATATTCTAATTTAATTATACCTTTAGATCGAATGATTACAATCATCAGTAATTATTTTTAAGAAATTGGGTTAAAAATCCAGATTATTGATAAATAAGTTATATCATCAGGGTTTTTCAGAGATTTCGGTTAATCTAATGTATTGGTTTTCGATAATTGTTATGATTGTATAGATCAGTACAAAAATATTGCGCTGTAATCTTTTTGATATCGTTTCTAAATATCACTTTTAAAATTAATTATGAAAAAAAACTATGTATGCAAAATGCATTAGAAATATGAAAAAATCAATTACTTATGATTAAGTACACAAGAAATATCCAGCTTAGTTCTATTTTTTACCCAGTTTTATTTCAAATGAAGAAATTTCAGAATATGTATGCTGTAATTTTAAAAACTTTACTTCACAACTTTGTAATAGACCTTTAACGTTCTATATAGGTAAAATATTTCAAGGAATAAATGTATGTGCCAATTCTGCCTTAAAATATACCAATGTTATGGCAAGGCTATGCAACGTGTTAGTTTTCATATAAAATCGTACTAAATACTGTCAAAATGCCATGTATTTGATATACAATCAGGTTTTTTACATATAAAATGCAACTTCACTCATATGGTATTAAGCAATATGAGAAAGATCCAGTCATTTTTTTTTAGATTTTTTAGTTTTCCAGGTTTCATTTTCAAAAATATAACATTTCATAATAAGCCCAATTCTTCCTAATTAAAAAAAAAAATAAGACCTTGATTGATTATCAAACAAACTATTATCGTTCTAGATTCAAATCTGTACATTGACAAATCCAATTCTTAATAATGGATTTAAGATTAAAATATCGTATCAATTTTTATCATTCATATGCGATTCAGCAATATATAAATAGAAGTAATTCTGCATTTTGTCGAAATTGTTACAATGTCGAAAATCGTAGCTCTGTGTGTTTTGGCTTTGGCCGTCTGCGCCTCAGGTAAGAAAAAAATTAATATAATAAAACCTGTGTAAAATATTATTTAATTTACTACCACCAAAGGCAAATCTTCAGTTGATCATAATAGAAACAAAAATTTAGGATCAATTAAGAAGTCCACAACAAAATTAAAGAAATCACTCCTTTCTATATATTATGTATCAATTTTTATTTTAGCTGATCCAATCAAAAATGCCGAAAAATACAAGGAATTAGTTGATAGCCGTGTCGTTGGTGGTGTCAATGCCGCCATTGGAGCAGCTCCTTACCAAGTGTCCTTAAGGACCAACCAAGGACATTTCTGCGGTGGTGTCATCATCAGCAGCACATGGGTTCTTACTGCTGCTCACTGTCTTGATGGGTAAGATCATAAATAATCTAACATCTAATAAATCTGCATTTAAACAAGAAATGCGATTCATGGTTGCTAGCAGTTAACGTGAAATTTGGTTTAAACATCATATTTTGGCACCAGTTTTGTGCAAACCTTCATTGTACTTCTAAATTGCACTCATTTCTGTGGCATGATACAGTTTCTCTCAAAATCTGGTTTTAGTTAGAGACAGAACCTGCTATTATTCTTGATTTAGGTAACTTCTGTCATTATTGTCAATATTTTCTTTACATTTTCTTATTTTTTCAGCCAAACTCCAAGCAACTTGCTCGTCGTCGTAGGAACTAACACCTTGAACGCCGGTGGTGTAGGTTACAGAGCCAGACAATTGTACATCCACAATTTGTTCAACTACCAACAATTGCACAATGACATTGGTTTAATCCAACTGTCAAGTCCAATCCAATTCACCAATGTAGTAAAAGCTATCCCAATGGCTAGCTTTGACACACCTGCCAACACCAGAGTAACTTTGACTGGATGGGGATACTTATCGGTAAGTAATAGATAAAAATAATTTACTAATTAAACTGCTTTCGATTCAAATTAACAAGTAATAACTGCAACAGAAAGATATTGCTATTTTTATCTGACGATATGATTAAATCGAATTAAATTACTTGTTTTGGAAAATTTTTCGCTCCTGTTACTATAAATTCTTTGAGTTGCCAAGGGCGCTAAGCATACTAATAGATGACAATTAAGATTTTTTATGTATGGAATGATTTTCTGATTTTTAGGCTGGAGGACAAATCCCTAACTACTTGCAAACTGTCGACTTGTTCACAATTTCCTACCAACAATGTGCTCAATCCTTGAACCACTTGCACCCAATTGCTACTTCTCAAATCTGCACATTCATCTCAGTTGGAAAAGGCGCATGCAATGTAAGTAAAATAAATATTGAAAAGAATGATTAACGTACAGAATTTTCTTGAGACATGACTTATTCGTTCATGACATCATATATTTTATAACTACAAAAAAGTCCTTTTCTATCATTGCCTAACTTTGAACAGTTCCACGTTCTACGTTCTAGGATTTTCAATCCTAGGTGAAAACAAAGTGATCTTTAGCATTTTGTTATTAAACATTATTTTTTCTATTATCCAGGGTGACTCTGGTGGCCCATTGGTAGCCAATGGACAATTAGTTGGTTTGGTGTCATGGGGACAACCATGTGCCAGAGGCTTACCCGATGTCTTCACCAAGGTCTACGCTTACCGCGATTGGATCAGATACTACACCGGATTCTAAATGAAATTATTTGTGATGTTAGAAAAATAAACAAAACTTTTACACAAAAATTATATTCTGTATGCTTGCATCATCTACATTTAGATTCATCTCGAATTTTTTAAATAAATTTTAACATGGCAAGAGTGACTTCAAATCTATTTTTGTGCTAACAATGATGTTTGAAAGAGGTGTTGCAAAATTATGAGGAATGGAAAAATCTAGTCTAAAAAGTATATTAATAATAATAAAAAGCTAAAAATTAAATTTGTGATTTGATTTATTTAGTTTTTTAAGTTTGATTAAATGATGATTATTCAACAATTGCAATTGCAGATAAGCAATTCATAATATCAAACCGATTCATAATACCAAAATATAATAAATTAATCAAATTGAAAAAAACATTGATAAAAGCCTAAAAATGAATTTTGCTGTTTAATTTATTTTTAGCAAAAGTGTCAACCGCAAATCTGTGCAAAATTCATGCAATTATCATCAAATTATTCCTCATGTAAGTGAGTGTATAATCTTATCAATTTCTTGTGAGATAAATATTATTCCAAGGTTTAAAATGTAAAGTACATCAAAATAATTATTTTTAATTAAATTAAACTGAATAACTTTGCAAGATGGCAACAAATCTGTTTTCTCTTGCTATAGTGTTATTTATCTCTACTTCAGGTAAGTTGAAACTAATTAAAATTGTATTATCCTTCTGAGTTGTTATTAATTAAAATTTACAAAATTATTATGTATCATTCAGAAAATTTTGTTTGTGCAAGACATAAGTTGTCTTTGGTCAAATATTAAAATTATTTAAAAACTTTTATTTACTATTTACAAAATTATAATTGGAATAAATTTATTTCAATGTTTTAGGTGAATCAGCGCATATTTTGCATGGATCTCGAATATTAGGAGGAGAAAATGCAAAACTCGGAGATGCTCCTTACCAAGTATCATTAAGAGATAATTTTGGACATTTTTGTGGAGGTTCTATCATCAGTGAAAATTTCGTGATTACAGCTGCTCATTGCCTTGATGGGTACGCAAAATAAATCATATAATCATAGGAAACTACATTTTTAGAAAAATATTTCTGATGTACTGTTTAAATAGATCATAAATAGACTCACACCTAACTGTTCCCTGTGTTTTCAAATGAATCAATACCTAATTGTTTTATGCAAATATTACAATAATTATAACACATTTAACTTTTCTAAAATTTTCAATTTCAGATACACAGTAAGCAAATTTAAAGTAGCAACTGGCACAATCGAGTATGGTAAAGGAGGTGACGAATATAAAGTTATCAACTTTGTTGTCCGGGATGACTTTCAATATGTAAAATTAGAAAATGATATTGCTATAGTACAAATAGATGGATCCTTCAAATTTAATGACTACGTGAAGCCTATAAAATTGCCAAATGAGGATACTAAAGTTGGCACAGATGTTGTCTTAACTGGATGGGGAAAAATGGTAAGAGAAAAAGAAATTATGTTGTAACAGAATAATCGTATAGGTATTATATTTTATGGGATTATTATAATGTAATTATGCCAATCAACAAAATTAATATTATTTTAATCGTAACTTTTTTTAAATAAAATTTGTAAGATCTATCAATCCTACTTGGGTAAATTTTACTCATATTAACTCTACAAGAGTATGATCATACAAAGTTTTATATCCACAAAATAATTCTTTTAGGAAGGCGGTAAAAATCCAGAAACTCTACAAATCTTGAACTTAAAAACAATTGATCAAGAAGAATGCAAAAATGCTTTGGCAGAAGTAAACACAGTTCTTCCAAGTCAAATTTGTACCTATGTTGGTGTAGGCAAAGGAGCTTGTCAGGTAAAATATTGATTCAAGTAAGATGTATGATTAGTAAAACAGAAGGGGTGAAATATTCAAATTCTTGTTTATGGAAAATATCACAAGCCGCAAATTTTAGTGGTAAATATTTTCTTTATGAATTTTTGTCTACCATTTTATTTATCAGCTCTATCTTAGTAACTGACTATAAAAGTTGATAAACGATGATAAAGTAGTTATTAACGACGTAGATAATACTTTACAACTTGAGCATAATTATAATGCAAGTTATTTTGTATTTGACGTGAAAATATTCGGGATTTGGGTATCATTTCAGCAAAACATTCGAATACATACGAGTGAATATATTGTTAATAAATTTGCAAAAATATACAAATTGTTTCTTCGATATTTTTCACAAAATTAAAAAAATGGCGTTATAAGGTGAGTCAAAGGATATGATTTTTTATATAAAACTATTTATTATCTTTTCAGGGAGATTCAGGCGGTCCCTTGGTATCAAATGGAGAACTCATAGGGATCGTTTCTTGGGGCAAACCATGTGCAGTAGGAAAACCAGATGTCTTTACCAGAGTATATTCATATCGTGATTGGATTAAAAGATACACCGGAGTGTAGTTTATTCAAATTTAATTGTTTATAAAACTCTTGAATAAATGAACTTGGAAAAATAATATAAAGTATTTCCAACAAGAATAACACAAAGTGATATAAATAAATGAATACGAAGAAATTTATAAAGCAAATTATTTTTACTGTTGATGGCCAAGACATAATTAACTTCCCGAAGGAGAAGTTTATGTTTTCATCAAAAAATCCGAATCGCTAATTTTATGTTTTCTCGACGTTTCGAGCCATTCTGAATCGAATGAGACCAAATTTGGAAAAAGTATGTGTGTGTGTGTGTGTGTGTATGTGTGTGTGTGTGTGTGTGTGAACAGATTTTTTGCCGTAAATCGACGTTTTCTCCAAAACGGTTGGACCGATTTCAAAAATTTAAAAGCCATTTGATGTATCTCGATGAGGACTATCGTCTCTGAGTTTTGTGCGGCGATCGGCCGGGCCGTTTCTTTGTAAATTGCAGAAAAGTGAAAAATTTTTCGTCCACGTTTTAGCCCGCAATTCTGAATCGATTCTGAAAATTCAAAAACCGTTCGATAGATATTGGTTGGGAATCGTGCTGATTAGTTTTTGGTAAAGATCGGCCGGGCCGTTTTCTTGTAATAAAGTTTAAAAAAAAAAAAAAATTGACAATTTTTATGATTATTTTTTTGACGATAGATACCACAGTCTTCTAGGTCATACTAAAATATTACGGCCCTACGACAACTGGTTCAGCTTTAAAAATTCGTCAAAGTTTGCAAAAATCAGTATGGTCTTTTTGGCATTTGTCAAAATTAGACTTTTGATCGACGTTTTCTCAAAAACGCCTGAACCGATTTTAGAAATTTCAAAGCCATTTGATGTATTTCGGTGAGGACTATCGTTTGTCAGTTTTGTGCAACGATCTGCCAAGCCGTTTCTTCGTAATTTGAAAAAAAGTGTTGAACTTTTCGTCCACATTTAAGCTCATCCTACCGAACCGATTTTAAAAAATCAAAAACTGTTCGAAAGATATTAGTTGGGAATGATGCTGATTAATTTTAGGTGAAAATCTACCGAGCCGTTTTCTTGTAATTAAATGTTGAAAAAAAGTGTTAAATTTTCGTCCACATTTAAGCTCATCCTACCGAACCGATTTTAAAAAATCAAAAACTGTTCGAAAGATATTAGTTGGGAATGATGCTGATTAATTTTAGGTGAAAATCTACCGAGCCGTTTTCTTGTAATTAACTGTTGAAAAAAAGTGTTAAATTTTCGTCCACATTTAAGCTCATCCTACCGAACCGATATTAAAAAATCAAAAACTGTTCGAAAGATATTAGTTAGGAATGATGCTGATTAATTTTAGGTGAAAATCTACCGAGCCGTTTTCTTGTAATTAAATGTTGAAAAAAAGTGTTAAATTTTCGTCCACATTTAAGCTCATCCTACCAAACCGATTTTAAAAAATCAAAAACTGTTCGAAAGATATTAGTTGGGAATGATGCTGATTAATTTTAGGTGAAAATCTACCGAGCCGTTTTCTTGTAATTAAATGTTGAAAAAAAGTGTTAAATTCTCGTCCACATTTCAGCTCATCCTACCGAACCGATTTTAAAAAATCAAAAACTGTTCGAAAGATATTAGTTGGGAATGATGCTGATTAATTTTAGGTGAAAATCTACCGAGCCGTTTTCTTGTAATGAACTGTTGAAAAAAAAATTGAAGCCGATTTTCATGGAACTTTTTTTGGCGATATACATCATGGTCTTATAGAACTTACTGTAATGCTACGGCCTTACAACAAGTAGTTTAATTTTAAAAATTCGTCAAACTTTGCTAGAATTATTATCGTTTTTTTTTTTAAAGTAGGATTGATGAAGTATATTATTTACACATTTTTTTGATCAAGTCGATTATTTACACATATCGGGAAGTTCATGTAATTTGCCTCAAGGCTAAATACCAAACCAACTAGTTTGAAAAATATTTTCAGCAATAACTTTTTTAACATGTTACATATCATTGTAATTAGTATCATGGAAACAATACTCGCTCAAAAATAACTTTTGATAAAAATTGGAAAATTTTTAAAAAAATAGATGCTTACACTTGGCTATTTATATCTAACAAATTTGACTGACACAAAAGTTAACATATTTTTGGAAGTTGGATTAATTATATTTAATTATTATTATTTGATAATTCAAGTCAAATAAGTGTAGTATCAATTTTAGATTCATATCTCCCACAAGGGCTGATTCCAATTTGAATTCCAAATGATGAATTTAAGATTAAATTATCATATCGCTTTTTATCATCCATATGCGATTTGGTGGCATATAAATAGAAATAATTTTTCTTTCGCCAAAAATGTTGCAATGTTGAAAATTTTAGCTCTTTGTGTTTTGGTTTTGGCCGCCTGTACCTTTGGTAAGAAATTAATAATTATGTAAACTATTTATAGATTATTTTTACAAAATATTGTTTTATTCAATACTTATAATAAATTAAGAAACAAATTCTTAATCACAAAAAAAATTCTAATAACAAAAATTGGGTTGAATTAAATTCGTTGTAATTCAATTCAGCTTACCAGAATATTTTAGAAGCATTTAAAAAATTATTTATTTAGTTCATAATTTGTTGCTCATACTAGTTAATGTTGTAGAATTATGAATAATTGTAAAATAACCAAAAAACTATAATTAATTTAGGGAAAATAATAAATAAATATATAAAATTAATCTATTTCTCTAAATTTGAAGATAACTTTCTTCTTTTTATAGCTGATCCAATTAAGAATGCCAAAAAATACAAGAAAGTAGTTGATAGTCGAGTCGTTGGTGGTGTCAATGCTGCCATTGGGGCAGCTCCTTACCAAGTATCCTTAAGGTCTAGCCAAAGACATTTCTGCGGTGGTGTCATCATCAGCAGCACATGGGTTCTTACTGCTGCTCACTGCCTTGACCGGTAAGTTCACAAAATATCCAAAATTTATTCAACTTTTTTTTGATAAGCAACATTTGGATGATCCTAAATATATTTTTCTGAATGGCTTGTATGAACGCATATATTTATGGAAATTGGTTGCTTGTTACTGGAGGATGTTGAATGTGAAATTTGATTTCATCATCCAATTTCAGTCTCGGTACTATGCAGAATTATTTTGTTTCCTTGGATTCCTCTTATTTATTTTAAAAGTACTCTGCAGTAATTACGATTCTGCTATAAATAATACAGTGTCTTTGGAAATTAATCTGGCATAATTTCTTAGATATCAAATGAGTGCACTTAAATTGCATTTGTAGTTAGGCTCTGCATTTTCTTGATGCTGCAACTGATTTTGCCCCCTTACATAAGTTGACCAAGTATTTTCTATTTTTCAATTTTTTAGCCAAGATGCATCCATCGTGGTCGCAGTTGTTGGAACAAACACCTTGAACAGTGGTGGCGTAAGTTACAAAGCTAAACAATTGTACACCCACGAATTGTACAACTATCAAGAATTTTATAACGACATTGGTTTAGTCCAGCTGGCATGTCCAATCCAATTTACCAACTTGGTAAAACCAATCCCAATGGCTAGCTTTAATACACCTGCTGGAACCAGAGCAACTATGACTGGATGGGGATACTTATCGGTAAGAACAAAAACAGTTTATAAAATGAAGATCATTCAATTGATATTAACAGGTAGTGTTATTGACTGTCATCAGAAAGTTGTTGCTATTTCTAATTTGATGATATAAATGGAGCACATTTAAGAGACGATTGTTTAGAAATTTCTTCTTCTTGGTAGCAATCAATTGTTGTGGCATAAAAAGCAGTAATGTACCTTGTCTACTTTTTAAATGTGTAGTTCTCATAATATATTTTTTTGCATTTTCAGGCTAACGGACAAATCCCCAACAGCTTGCAAACCATCGACTTGAACATAATTTCCCACCAAGAATGTTCTCAATCAATGAACCAATTACGACCAATTATCACTTCTCAACTCTGCACATTTGTGTCATTCGGAAAAGGAACATGCAATGTAAATAACAATTATATTAAATCATTTTTATTTTAACTTATATTTAATTTTTCATCTAATTATGCTGAAGTCATTGCGCTTTCTGTAACTTGTATTATCTCATACGAACTTTATAAAGCCTAAAATAAGACACTTCAATCCTGGGTAACAAATAAAATGATCTTCAATATGGCAATATTAATACTGATTTTTATATTTTCCAGGGTGACTCTGGTGGCCCATTGGTAGCCAATGGACAATTAGTTGGTCTGGTGTCTTGGGGAAGACCATGTGCCCTCGGCTTACCAGATGTTTTCACCAAAGTTTACGCTTACCGCGATTGGATCAAAAAATACACTGGATTCTGAATGAAATTTTTTATGGTTTTGAAGAAATATATAATTTTTACAATAAGTTTGATTATTTTGAAAGCTTATATCTTGTAAAACTTGATAGCTCTAGTATTAAGACAATTTCAAACTTGATCTAAAACCGAAAAGTGGTCCTAAAATTTTCATGCTTCAACAACCAATGAATCTGAAAAATTGTAAAAACTAATCCAGAAGGATTATATAGGTCAAATAGGTCCTTTATAAGTGTAAAATGAACCCAGAAGTTAAATAGCCACAAAATAAATTTTGTGATTAAATTAAATTGTTTTTGATAAATTTATTGAATGGCTGTTAATATTTAAAAAATTGTGGTTCGTAAGATTGAACAATAGTATATAATCTAGTCCAAAGGTTATAAAACAACTGAAAAACATTTTGTGATTATATTCAAGACATTAACATATTAAGATATAAGATATTTTGAAAACACTTTTAACTACGATTTCTTTGCCTTACAATATAAATTTGTATTTAATGCCTTGTGGACGATATCGGAGCAAAACTTCTAAATTCAACAAGAAATTAACAGAAAATTTATAAAATATCAAAATATATCCAAATTATTCATTAGTCTACAATAATTAGGTAAACTACTTTTTCATCAAAATTGATATTTATTATGTACTTTATTATAATGTTATATGCAAATATACTTCTAACCAAACAACAAACCTATGGTACTAAAAATCGCGAAAGATAGAGCTACTGATTTTATTATTTTCATCGTTATCGTTCTGTACAAAACCATAGAAATTTACTGTTTCATTACTAACTAACTAATTAGTTATTACTAAGATTCAAAAAAAACTTAGTTGGTTATTGAAACAAAAAACATTCACAAAGATCAAAAGATTGTGATCCTTGGTCATTTCTCTTGTTTATGCATTTTTAGAAAAATTGTTATTTGCATGTATAATATTTTTGGCTTTACATTTCTATAGACGTATTTAGCAATATCATAACCCACTTCTCAATTATATAAAAAGTATAAATTTGTTATAATTTTGATAGGATTTTTGAACTCTGAGGTCAATACTCTATAATCAACATAGTATATTTCAGTCTTCAAGTTTAGTGGCTTTACCAATCGGCTGTGTAAATATAATTTTATCACAATTCTAAAAAAAACTTAGCAAAAACAGTAAAATATATATAACACTAATTTGGCACTGAAATTAGTAAATATACAAAATTTTAAGAGAAATTTTCAGAGGTCGATGACCCTCCGACTTATAAATAAAGGAAAGTACTACATGATAAAACATTATGATATTTACTCCAAATATTTGTACTATTTGCCAAGTATATATGTAAAAATATATATAAAGCAATAAATTCTATAAGATTTCGAGGATAGAAGTCATTTTAAGGATAATAGAATCGTATTAATAAGATTTTGTTTTAATTCGCCTCTTTTATATGCAATTTTATAGACTCAATTCAACGAAAATTATTTCTAAAACTGGCTTACAATAAATTGGTACAGTTTAGATCTGCGGTTTTCAACCTGTGAGGTGCGCTTCCTCAGGGGGAATAGGCGTAGGGCACTTTCTCAAAATACTATTTTCGAAAATAAACCAAAAATTTTGAAAAGATACAAATTATTTTTAAAATTTAAAAAAAAAATTTATGCATATTTTTACATAATATTGCATATTAAATTGTAGTCTGATAATATCTATTGATTATTTATGAAATAAAATTAATAAAAAAATTAAGGTGGGGGCAACAATTTTTTTTATTAGAGCCTGAGGACTCGGTGCAAAAAATGGTTGGAAACCACTGGTGTAAATATTTATATTAGTTTTAAGTAGGAATATATAAAAGTTATTGCATAGCAATAAAATAAGAAATCAATTCAACTTGAACAAATTTTATTGCATATTTTATATTATATTCAATATTACAATACTATTATTTATATAATTTATATTATATTACTTTTCGAACTATTGCAGATGTAAATATATTTATCTTTGTAATTATAAATAATTGAATTTTAGTTTCATAAAATATACGATTCTTTAGACACGTTAGTAATATTTTTTACAGGGTTAAATAATATTAAAATAAACCAATAATAAATTTTTACAGTTCCTATATGTAATTCCTGTGTAGTTAGATTTGTATCGAGATAAATAAAATTAAAAATATTATTATTATATATTACTATACTATTATTTATATTACTATATTACTTTTTGAACTATTGCAGATATAGATATAGGTGTATTTTTTTTATCTTTATAATTATAAATACTTAGTTTTTAGTTTCATAGAATATATGATTCATTAGAAATATTAGTACATTTTTTACAGGGTCAAGTAATATTAAAATGAACCAATATTAAATTTACACAGGTCTTATAAAATATATATAATTAGATTTGTATCGATTTAAATAAACTAAGAAAAAGTTGTGGTGGATTTAAAATATTTTATATATTAACATGAATATATTGTTTATAATTTTTTCCAGGTGACTTTATTTTACTCCTCAAAGGTTATTGCGCGAGATTTATTATTGAATTTAAAAGGTTTCTAGTCCAAACTATAAAAAAGTTTGTTATATATAATATATAATATTATAATCGACATAATGCAGTATTTTATGCCGGTCTACAATGTATAATCAATATTTCGACTTTGATTTTTTGCATTAGCAACGCAAAGTTTATATGCACCATACAAAGTGTAATATAGTTTTAAAATTTGCACCATGAAATCGTTCGAGTAGTTTCTATATTTATAATACGTAATAATAAAATAATCTATGAGTAATTAATAATGAGTAATATATATATATATATATATATATATATATATATATATTGATATGAATATTGTACTGCAAAGACAGAGTTATTTTAATTTTATTTGTAATACAACTAATTGTCAACTCGTGCAAAAAATATTGTCTTATTGTAAATGATCATGAATATAAATCTAAAAAATTGCACAAGTTAAACTCGCATTTAAATTCTTAAATTACATTCTAATGCTTACAATTAGTTTTTTTAAATAGAACAAAATGCCAACTATTAGAAGAAACATTATCTTATCTTAAACAATACCTTCATCTATAGTTCCACAAAAATTGAATTAATTGTATTATGGTTCTTAATTTATTTATAATAAATAAGTCTATATGTAAAAATATAATATTTTCCAATTTCAGAACCTCGAAAGTTCGAATAGAAACGTTTCCGTTTAACATTTGTTCATATAAAAAAAAAAACGTGAGTAATTTACTACTGAATAGATCTTATTGTTAGTATTTAGATAGAAATATTGACTATCATATTTCATAATCACAAATATTTAAAAAAAATATATTTACAAACATTAAATCAGTTTGATAAAAAATGATTACACATTAAAGATTAGTAATTAATATTTAAGTATTAATCACAAAGAACAAAGTGCAAAAATTTGTTGAAAATTGGAAATTAATTGAAATTTTGATTGAATTGAATTAATTCATTCACAGATTTTATAATACGGCTACAAAAATTTAAAAAAAATTGAGGTGCATATATTTATTGTCAATTGATTAATTAATTATTTTTTAGACAATGTGCTGGTCCTTATGCCTTTGAAGAGTTTATCTCCAATAAAATATTTTTTTTTAATAAAAGTAAGGTAATTAAATTTTTTTAATAAAACAGATAATTTATTCACGATTATTATCTAGGTTTAGTGATTTTAGGTTTGATATACTTATATGCGTATACATTGCGATGCTGATTGGGATGTTTTTCTCGTTGATGCATCTAATACAGCTCAACTATCAATCACGAAAGGTACGTGCGTCATTTTCAACTAGATCGAATAGAGCTAGTTTATATATATATATATATATATATATATATATATATATATATATATATATATTAACAAAGTCTAATAATCGGGCATAACATCAATAAAAAAATGTTTTTTATTGATGTTATGCCCGATTATTAGACTTTGTTAATACATATGTCAAAATCAAATTCAGAATCATACAAAATATATATATATATATATATATATATATATATATTAAATTTTCTAAACATGGATATAAATAGATAGAATCTATAATAAACGTCAACCCATTGGAATATATTTTCGCAGATCACCATCGTTAACTTACACGTGCTGAGCACAATGTTAGTTTATTTAGCGCAATATTGTTGGCTTCATGTCAAAATAGGTTTCTTGAGAGTTTTTAATTAATTTCACAAACTAAAATTATATTCAGAAAACACCTACACGTTGTAGAGATTTCTACTTTTAGAGAAAATCGCCTTAAGAGAAAATTGAGAAACTATAAATAATATTGATTTTGTGTTTTATTCGATTGGTTTCCTTTCCCATTTTAATACTTTTTTTGATTATTATCTTGAACTTTTTGATACCCACGTTTTTCAAATACTTGACGACGATAATCATTGAGTTCGTCAATTTTACAATAACCTGTGCGATAATTTATGACTAGCCTCTTAAATAATCTGTCACCCACATCACTCCCCCACTAGATTATTTGAATGAAAACTTTCATTCTTCATGCAAAATCAACATGAGTCAGGATTGTATATTGTTAAGTCTCTAGTCTTGTAATGTGCATAAAAATTGAATAAATAACGCTAAGTAAACTAAATGTTCTATTTAAAAATTGTTTATTATTACCATGAAGAAACAATGTTCTCAAAATAGAAACATTACAAAAATATTACAAACATATATAATAGTTAATTGCGAATAAAAAAGAATAGAAAACATATTGCTCTAACAAATTCATTCTTCGCTAGTACAAAATCAAAACAAATTTTGTTTATAAAAATTTTGTACATCGAATGCCAACCACACCAAACATTGCCATGTGTTCAGTGTGAAAATAACTTTGGTAGGAAAATTATGTCACTGTCAACAAGTTGAGTATTTGGAAATCAGAAAAGCCGGGGGACCGTGCCAGTTCCAAAGCGCGCGCA